CAATCATCCATTAACTATTTGATAAAGCCAAGTAAATCATTCACATTAGAAGTGATGTAAAACGATACCACAGACATACAAAGATGTTTAGCAGTCACATGGTTCAGAAATCGGGAATGGATTTCACATTGTCAGCAACCTCAATTAAATTTATAACAAGGGAAATTTTAAGCTCAAAATGCAGGAGACGTGATTGTAGTTTGCAGGTTTTTTATTCTACTATTCTTATTATCAGCTCTCAGATGCCAATACTCATGGAAGCTAGTTATAACAAATGTCAGCAATAGAGTAGTTCTTGTTTCCTTTCTATGTTACATACTAGGGTCCCGCATAAGAACCTAGAAACCTTTCTTTTTATAGCCAATCCAGGACAAACTCGACGCATATAGCTGATTATGAAGTACCATAGAATCTATTAATGATCAAACGTAACACAGGCTTGTATCGCTTGTGTCATCCGAAACAAGAATTCTATTTCACTTTGCATGTCCTCATGAAGTAATATTTGAGCTAATGTATAAATAACTTCAACTACAGAGCAGTATAAACAATAACTGAAAACACTTTCTACTATTCCATCATAGATGCATTGAACCAAGGGTCAACATAAAACCAAAACTACAACACCCACTCAAGCATTCTGTCAAACAATTCATGGGCATCCAAAATCCCTCATACCGAATAAACCCATCTCAAAAACTGCATTCCTATAGCTATATTTTGGTCTAACTTGCTAATTTAATGTATAAGTAGCTATATTTGGGTTCAAGTCGCTAATTTTGTCTAAGTTGATATAAAGTTAAGCATTTTGGAAAACAAATCATGGGCATAAAAAAATCCCCAAACCAAACAGACCCATCTCAAATCTCACATACCTCAACCGAATGAACAGTTCCATAAGGCTTGAAGAGATTCGAAAGCCTGGGGAGATTACGGACGCAGGGCTTCGCCAACTTCTTCTTATATCCCTCTTTAGGGGTCAATGCCTTCTCTTGCTCTGCAACTGCTGAAGCTCTAAATGCAGTTCTTTTGGGGGGAGAGAGGGTGAAGAGACGGGAGAAGGAGAAGGGGGAGTGCAAGGATAATGAAGATGGGGGCGGTATGGTAGTCCTATGGAGCAACGAGAGGTTGGGGGAGAAAGAAGTTGACGGACGTGAGATTAGGGCGGCCATGGAGGAACAGGAGAAGGGATAAGAGAGGCGGTGGAGGGAGGAGTAGGAGTTGAGGATTTTGGGGGTGGGGAGGCGCTGAAAATTTTGATTTGGGGGGAAAAGAAGGGCGGCTGGGGTTTTTGTGTGAGATCTCTACATTCAGTTGTGTGAGATCTCTACATTCAGCTAAACTTTCAGTTACAATCATATCTGAGATTCAGTTACAACCATATATCTGTATATTGTTCATAGTATAAGGCTGAAATCAAGAGACTCTACCTGTATATAGTTACAAGAATCCGTGGCTATAATCAAGAGATTTAGCCTTATCATTGTACTCTACATCTCTATATATAGAAGATAATACAGAGAAAGGAATCAGAAAATTCCAACATATATTCCTCCTTCTATTTGTTTCTCTACATTGTATATTGTGCTTTTCTAACATGGTATCAGAGCAAATGGCTTCCGATGCAACATCAGAAATCCCTCTCAGCTCTTCCTCTATTCCAACAGTGAAGGCCATTAGGCAAGAGGTCTCCATCAAATTACTCTCCACAAACTACTTCCCCTGGCGCACACAAGTTCTTCCTGTTCTCCATTCTCATGGTCTTATTGGACTTGTGGACGAAACTCTTCCTCGACCTGATGATGAATCGTCAGAAGTAGCTCAATGGATCCGACTCGCTCAATTGGTGCTAGCATGGCCACAAATAGCCTCTCTGAATCGTCCGTCAATCAAGTTGGTACTTGTACGACCTCTGCAGAGATGTGGCGTACACTTGAGATCCTCTATGGCACTTTGACTCGCTCGCGGGTTCAACAACTTCGCTTCGAACTTCAGTCACTCTCAAAAGGTGCACACTCTATCTCTGATTTTGTGTCTCAGGCTAAATCTCTTGCTCAAATCCTTGCTAGCGCTGGCAAACCAGTTGATGAAGATGATCTTATCTCATGGATTCTGCGCAGCCTCGGGTCTGAATTCGATCCTATTGTTGCTGCTGTCAACATCTGACGAGAGCCTCTTTCAGTCGATGAGGTCATCGCTCTATTGCTAGATTTTGAGCTCCGCATCAAATCCACAAAGATAACCACTGATCCACCCGCGGCCATGTTTACTACTCGAGGTCGAGGGCGCACCAACTCTGGTGGTCGCTCGGCTCGTGGCAATGGAGGTCGTAGATCCTTCTCCTCTGGCAATGGTGGTCGTGGATCTTTCTCCCCTAGTGGTCGCGATAGTGTTAGCCATCTTCAATCCATGCCGGTGCGTGGTGGTCATCATGGACCTTCACGTGGAATGTCTCGTGGTGGTCGTGGCTCTAGTCGTCCTAATGCTTCACCGGTTGGAGATTCCTCTGGAGTCTACTGTTTTCGATGTGGTCACCCCTACCATAAAGCAAACAATTGTTTCGCTCCAGACTCTGTTGTAACTGATACAACTTAGGCCTTCACCGCCATGCATCTTGCTGATCAAAATGATCATGCATGGTACCTAGACACGGGCACCACAAACCACATGACAGCTGACCCAACTCAAGTTGAAGGTAAAACCTTTTATCACGGCTCAGATTCAGTCCTTGTTGGTAATGGTTCCACTCTCCCCATTACTCATCTTGGTCATTTGACTATACCTCATACTAAACTTCATCTATCTAATGTTCTTGTTGTACCTTCCATTAAGAAAAATTTGCTTAGTGTTTCTCAATACACCAAGGATAATAACTGTTGTTTTCTATTTTACCCTTGGGGTTTTGTTGTCAAGGATCTGAGGAGCGGTCGGATTCTATTGAAGGGTTCTAAACATGGTGGACTGTATCCCATTGGACTCGCTCTGTCTAAGTCTGTCTTTTCCTCTACTTTGCTTGCTAATAAGATGGACTCAATGACATGGCATGCTCGTTTAGGTCACCCTAGTTTTTCTTCTATGAATCAGTTGTCATCTATTTTAAATTATTCTACTCATTGTAATAAAGCTTGTTGTCATAGTTGTAAACTTGGCAAATCTTCCAAAATTCCCTTCACTCGTTGTACAAATTATACAGATCAGATTTTGTACACATTACATAGTGACGTGTGGGGACCTGCTCCATCTCTATCAATAGAAGGTTTTCGGTTCTACTTGATCATTATTGATGAATGTTCACGGTTCTCTTGGTACTTTCCTTTACGTCAAAAATCGAAAGTACCATCCATATTTATCCAATTTATAACTTTGATGCAAAATCAACTCAATAGTCATGTTAAGTTCGTCCAATCAGACTCTGGTGGTGAATATGTAAGTCACTAACTTCGTGATTTCTTTGCAATCCAAGGCATTATTCGTCTTTTCTCTTGCCCAGGAACCCCCGAACAAAATGGTCTTGCTGAACGCAAGCACCGTCATGTTGTAGAAACTGGTCTCACACTCTTAGCCCATAGCTCTCTTCCCCGTCATCTCTAGAATTATGCTTTTACCACTGCTGTTTACCTCATAAATCGTTTACCCTCTTCCTCTTTACATGGTCGAACCCCCTTCGAGACTATTTTTGGTCAAAAACCTGATTATGCTCATCTACGAGTATTTGGTTGTGCTTGTTTTCCACTCCTTGATCCCTTTGGTCGTGATAAACTGGCTTACAAGTCACTTGAATGCGTGTTTGTTGGTTACAGTGGAAAACATAAGGGTTATCGGTGCTTGGATACTTTATCTGGCAAAATTATATCTCACGGCATGTGTCCTTTGATGAAAATTCCTTTCCATTTGCAAGAATATCACAGGAAACATCCAGCACTGCCTCACCGGTGTTTCAAACCTAGCCGTTTCCAGATTAGACACTTCATTATTTGACAACAGATTCATCTCAAGTCAACAAAGGCCAAGTTCAATCCAGCTCTTCTTCCTAAGGAATCCAGGATCATGGAATTGCACCACATGAACCAGTTGATCATTGCTCCGCACTTCCTGGGCCTTCCACAAATGGTGGCGAACCTACTGCACCTGACCTTCCTGCACAAGGCTAAGTTCCTGCACCTGAACTTCCTGCACCAGAAACTGAGAATACTGCACCTATCAACTCGAATCAGACATCTCTGTTGCCGCCAGCATGGCCTACTCATGCTCCTATTAAGCGAGCTTGAGGTACTCGAGGTGGTCCTGGGGTAGCACCTTTTGATCCTAATCCACCACCATCAGTCTCTCATCACTCCATGATCACTCACTCTCGCGACGGGACCCGATGTCCAAAGGGCCTCTGTGCAACTCGCCATCTGATCCCTTTAGCACTTGCTTCCACCTTGCAGAATCATCCAGCAGAGCCATCTACATATAAGCAGGCGATAGCTGATCCTCACTGGAAACAGGCTATGACAGAGGAATATGATGCCCTTCAGCGTAACGGCACCTGGACTCTTGTACCCCTTACTGAAACAGGCTATGACAGAGGAATATGATGCCCTTCAGCGTAACGGCACCTGGACTCTTGTACCCCTTACTCCATCAATGAATATCAGAGGAATATGATGCCCTTCAGCGTAACGGCACCTGGACTCTTGTACCCCTTACTCCATCAATGAATATCATTAGCTGTAAGTGGGTCTACAAACTGAAACATCGTGCGAACGGCTCCATCGAACGCTACAAAGCCCGATTGGTCGCAAAAGGCTTCAATCAACGTGAGGGTTTCAACTTTGCTGAAACTTTCAGTCCCGTTGTCAAATCCAGTACTGTGCGACTCATTCTCTCCTTAGCACTCAAACATGGCTGGCCGCTCTGACAATTAGACGTCAAAAATGCTTTTTTACATGGGGATTTGTATGAAGTCGTCTACCTCCAACAACCACCAAGGTTCATTGATCCAGCCCGTCCAAACCATGTCTGTCACTTGCACAAGGCACTTTATGGTCTACGACAAGCTCCACAGGCATGGTACACTCGGTTTACCAATTTTCTTCAATAGTTTGGATTCATCAGCTGTCCTCATGATACTTCATTGTTTATGTGGAATCAAGGTAACTACACCATTCTCGTGTTACTATATGTGGATGATCTTATCATCACTGGAACCCATGATCACCTACTTTCTCGGCTCATTAGACGTCTTTCTTCAGAATTTGACATGAAGGATTTGGGAGCTCTTAATTTCTTCTTAGGCATGCAAGTTGTGCGAAATCATGATTCACTTATTCTTTCTCAAACTCAATATGCACTCACTCTTCTTCATCGGTTTGGTCTCTCTGGTGTTAAACCTATTAAAAGTCCTCTCGAAGTCAAACTTCAACTCTCATCTTCAGCCCCAGATCCTCTTCCTGATCCTACGATCTACCGACAGATGGTTGGCTCCCTTCAGTACTTAACGATGACACGTCCGGATCTTACTTATGCAGTCAATCATGTGTGCCAATTTATGCAAAAGCCATGCTCCTCTCATCTTGCTGCTGTCAAGAGGATCTTCCGCTACGTCAAAGGTACTCTATCCTTAGGCCTTATATTTTCTAAGGATGCTTCTCTTCAGATCCGTGCCTTTTTAGACGCAGACTGGGCCGGTTGTCCAGACAGTCGACATTCAACAACGGGATATGCAGTGTTCTTGGGGCAAAATCTTCTTTCTTGGGGATCTAAGAAACAATCTACTGTCTCTAGATCTAGTGCAGAGGCTGAGTATCGCGCATTGGCTTCCACAACTACTGAGGTTCTTTGGTTCTTACATATGCTTCGGTTTCTCAGATTTCACCTGTCCAATCCTCCATTAATTCTATGCGACAATATTAGCGCGATCTATATGTCCAAAAACCCGGTCTTCCACAGCAGGACTAAGCACTTTGACATCGATGTTCATTTCATACGTGCTCATGTCCTTCGAGGTGCAATCACTCTCTCTCATTTACCCGGCAAAGTTCAAGTCGCTGATGTCTTCACTAAATCTCTCCCTAGTCCTCTCTTTCTCTGGCTATGGGACAAGCTCTCCTTACGGGATAACCCGTCGTGAGCTTGAGGGGGGATGTGTGAGATCTCTACATTCAGTTGTGTGAGATCTCTACATTCAGCTAAACTTTCAGTTACAATCATATCTTAGATTCAGTTACAACCATATATCTGTATATTGTTCATAGTATAAGGCTGAAATCAATAGACTCTACATGTATATAGTTACAAGAATCCATGGCTATAATCAAGAGATTTAGCCTTATCATTGTACTCTACATCTCTATATATAGAAGATAATACAAAGAAAGGAATCATAAAATTCCAACATATATTCCTCCTTCTATTTGTTTCTCTACATTGCATACTGTGCTTTTCTAACAGTTTTGACACGTTAATTTTTTTTTTTTAATTTTCACATATCCTAGACGGAAATTTCCGTCTAGGATATGTGGAAATTAAAAAAAATAATAATAAAAATAAAACAACCGTCTAGGATACTATTCTAGATGGAAATTAGAATGTTTTATCCTAGACGGAATATTTTAGACGAAAATTTTCCGTCTAGTTTAATACATTCTAGACGGAAAAAATTCCGTCTAGGATATTCCGTCTAGGATGCACGGATTTCTACTAGTGATAAAATGTGTTTGGTTCAAAAAAATTTATAGAAATATTTTTTATAAGGTAGGAAGATGGGAGGTATTTTAGAAAAATCAACTTCCTCCCCAAGTTGGAGGAAATTGCCTAGAAACCTGACATTTTTATTAAAAAAATAATTAAGTACACCTAAGTCATTTCTCCACCCCTCAAGTGATTTCCTATGGGCATTATTGTTAGGAATCTATTTTCTATAAATTGATATTCAACCAAATAAAAAAACATCCTTTTTTCTATGAAGTTGGAAACTTTTTCATGTTTTGTACCAAACAAAGAAATAACAAAAAATAAGAGAAATAGTACCCTTTGAGTTCTACAAACCTTTCTTGTAATTTTTTATGGAAATGCAACGAAATCAAATTTTGGGCAATTTTTCTTTTCCTTTTTTTAATTATAGAAATCGAACCAAACAACCCCTTAGACTATTTGGTAAAGGCATAAGCTAAAAACGCTTTTTGTATTTTTTTTTACTTTTATTTGTTCTAACAATGACCTAATTTTTTAGTTTTTGTATGTGGTCAAATTATCTATAGTTTTGATCTAGATATCTAAGTTACATATCGTTCTAAATAACAATGATTAAAGGTATTTTTTATTTGATTTAATTTTCATGTGTGCTTTGTAACTATTCATTTAACCAATTCTTACATATGGTATCAACGCCAGCTCCGGCTATTATTTACTATTTTTTTAAGATCTTGGATCATCATAGTATTTATTTTCATGTTATCTGGCCTATAAAGTCGTCAAGTACAGTACAGAAAGCAAAGGTTATTTTGAGAATAACAAGTCTAAATTGATCCAATTAATTTGTCCTTTCGTTATTTTGCTTTCTATGCTGATGAAATCTCACATATTTTATTGACTTACATTGAAAGAATGATTTTCTTTTGTTTCTGTCTGACGTTGGCATATGGAATAATTTATTTTAGACTCATTCATTGCATGGCCAAAGCTTAGTGTATCAGTACGTGGAGAGTTAATAAAAGCAATGTAGTTTTTATTTCATTTTCTCCTATCACACTGAAGCTATCATACAGACTTTAATCGAGTATAGCGGCCGATTATATTAACTGTTCTCCAAGTGATAGTATCAGATATTTGAATGTTTTGCATATTAAAGTATGTTAATTGGATCACATTGCTTCTGCTTCTATTTGTATCCATCAAATTTTCGGTGCAAGATTAGTAGTCTTGATCTGTTTAGTTCTTATTTTGTGATCCTGTCAACATGATTATCAGTAATAAAAAATTATATTCATTGCAGTGTTAAAGAAAGTTACACATTTAAGATTCAAGTTTTATGTAGAACTAGTTTCGGTAACACTGGCGCTATCATGCTTCAGTGTAATATTAGAAATTATAGTTCCTTCCAAACTGAACGTACTAAAGTTCTATTGTGTAAGTTTCATATTTGTTCTACAGTTTGTTAAGATTGTCAAAATTTGCGAGACACTTTTACCTATTAAAGTTGTTAGGTCTCATGTTTATGAGCCTATTGTCTAATCTGGTTTTGATGATTAACTAACAATTCCTAATAACGTTTTTAGAGTACTTGCATTTGCTTGTTAGGTATCCTACACATGAGGTTGGTTGGAACTTGTGCCTTAACGTCGATATCTTGGAGGTTGGAAGGAAATTGGAATGAAGCCGTCACAATTCAAGTTAAAGATTAATATTGTGCTTCATCTCTACTACCAAGATGAGGATCGTCCAAGATCGAGCTTCATGCAAATCAAGCTTGGGTATAGTGTTTTAAGTTTTACTTTATGTGCTTATACTTAAAGCTCAATCCATACACGTGCACAATTATCTTTGTGGATAAGTTTAGCTTATACACTTAATGAAAATATTTTCAAGTGTTCAACAAACTCGTATTTTTGACCATTTTGCAAAACAGTGAGTTTTCACAAACGCAAAGTGCTATTTCAGAAATTTTTTCTCTAACATGTCTATTTTCATATTTATAAACGTTTTCCCAAGTTTTACTATTTTTGGAGTTGTTTCACTATTTTAAATTGAATTTAGAAATCAGCTCTTCAAAAGTCAAAAATCTGTGTATCAGTTTTCAGTCAACCGGCTGACTTAATCAGTCGTCCGATAGCATTCAGTCGACCGATTTTGTTTCTCAGTCGACTTGCCAGAATGAATTTTTACAACATTTCTTTTTACAGTCTATCAGTCGACTGACCATTTGAGTCAGTCGACCGAACACAGTGTTTTCAGTCGACCGAGTCATGACTGCCCATTTTCTTTATAGTAACGGCTAGTTTATAAGTTGACCGATATATTCAACTAGTTGACTGATCAGTCATTTTTGCTGTAATGGCTAGTTTTTGACAGTTTTGGTTGAGAGGCTATAAATAGCCCTCTTTTGCTGTAATGGCTAGTTTTTGACAGTTTTGGTTGAGAGGCTATAAATAGCCCTCAAGACTTAGTTTTTCACTAAGGAGTTTTATAAGTTTGTTTTGGCCATTTTTGGTCTGAGTTTTTGAGAAAGTTTCAGTGTGTTTATGTAAAAATGAGTTTTACAAAGAGAATGATCTTAATTTCGGTTTTGAGGCATTCAACCTCAAATCTCCATATCTATATCTCTTTGTTTTGGAGAAGTTTTCTAAACTCATTCTCTAGTTAATATATATTTTGATTATCATATATAAGCTAGATTTAATTGAGTTTGATTTCATTTTACTCATTGTTTACACACACAACCACTTGAGCTTTAGTATTTCACATATTGTATATTTGAGTTGTGAGGTTGTTTCATTGAGTGAGCTTACAAATTCATTCTCACTTGTTTAGAGAATAAAATCTTTATTTGAACTTATCGTTAAACACGTTGTAATACACAAGGACACTTAGAGAAGTGGTTAGAGAGAGACCAGGGTTAATTCTAAGAGGAGTAGGTTGGTAGTAAAGACTAGAAAGAGGTTGTAAATCCAAACACTTGAGGAAGGTAACACGGGTAGTCCAACACTTAGAGGAGTGTGGCTTGTGTGATTGTCAATGTGTGTATTGTAAAAAATTTCAGTGATCTTTGGAAACCGTATTGTGTAGTTATTTCGAGTTATAGTGGAGATCTCCTCGAGATGAAGAGCAAAGACGTAGGTCGAGGTTTGACCGAACTTCGTGATCATATCGTTTGTTTGTGATTGTCTTTTACGTACTATTTCTCTTCATATCTTGTGCTTGTTGTTTGCGATTGTTAATACTTTAAGCTCATATTAATCACACACACGTATTTGTTGATTTTATCAAAATATAATTGTTTTTATGAAAATATTATTTTATTAGTTTATAGACTTCAATATCACTTTATACATATTTTATTAAGTCTATAAAATCATTTTGTAAAGTTTCAAAACATGGTTTAGTCAAAATGTCAAAAACAAGTGTTGTTCATTTTCATGTTTTGGACTATTGTGTAAAATGAAGAGATTTCTCATTTGGAAGGTGCTTTTTGAAAACCAATTTTTATAACATGTTGTTTTTCATGTTTACAATCATATTCCAAAGTTTTACATTTTTCTGATTTTATTTGCTATTTTTAAAAGAGGTTTGAAAATTAGATTTTCTGTTTTAATCAGGCTGATACAGTGTTATCAGTCGAATGATGAATGTGTTCAGTCGACTGAAAAAATCGCCTGGAATGTCAAAAAAAAATCTGTTTTATTTCTGGTCGACTGACCAGTCGACTGATAAGGTCATCAGTCAACTGATAAGGTCGTCAGTCGACTGATGAGCTAGAAAATGCCTATAACGGTTAGCTCATCAGTCGACTGATGAAACCTGTCAGTCGACTGATGCTGTAACGACTAGTTTTTTATTTTCATTATTTTTATCTTTTTGCTAGGTTTTGTTGGTTTCTTCTTGGCTTTGGGGTTTCCTATAAATACCCTCATATATCCTCAGTTCTTAAATTAATCAAGAAGTTTTAAAAACAAGTTTACAAGAGTTTAGTTTGTTTTTAAAGTGTGTTTAAGAGCTTAGTTTGTGAAGAAATTTTCACAAGGGTAGGAGGAGATAATCTTTGGTGTTTGGGCATTCAACTCATCTCCCTCTCTCTCTTGATCTATAGAGAAGTTTTTCTTAAACTCAATCCTAGCTATTTTATACGTTTGAGTATAATTTCATAAGCTAGTTTTACATTGAGTTTATATTTGTTTTATCGCTTTGTTACACACACCCACTTGAGCTTTTAGTATTTTCATACATAGTATATTTGGGGTTGTGAGTTTATAACATTGAGTTGAGCTTAATTGAGTTCTCACCTTGTTTAGAGAACAATCATTTGTTGTATTGAGCCTAATTGTGAGGATTCACTTTGTATTACACAAATACACCAAGAGGAGTGTAGAGGTGAGAGACGTGGTCGGTCCTAAGAGGAGTGGGGTCGATGGTAAT